CCTTGTGACAATGCATTGCGTATGTGTTATGCAAGTTATTTTGAACAGCACCCCATTGTAGCAACACAACACATCTGTGCTACAAAACACTGCAACAATGTGTGTTGTGCCGCACTGTGGTGACAAAAAATAGCGCAAGTGCTCATGCATTGGGGCCCATTCAGCACACCAAAAAGGATGCAGTAGAGCATGTAGTGTGAACTTAAAAGGAGAACTATGAGATGAGTGATTTTCACTCACCTCATAGTTCTAGCCGATCTGTGACAATGAGACTGTCACAGGTCGGCTCAGTAGATCGGGAGGTGAGGGAACACATACCGGGTTCGCTCACCTCTCGATCCTGTCACGGCTCTCTGCCGTGCCAGGGGGGGGGGCTGGATTCCACCCTCCCCGCTCCGATCCTCCAGCGCTGACTGGCGGAACGGACGGGAGAGGGGGCGGGTACAGCTGGATCTGCCTCTAGATAGGAGGAGCCAGCTGTCACTCACGCAGCTGGGCGGATCTCGACATCAATGTCGGGGATCCGCTCCGGCGTCTTAGTGTACCGCGAGCTGCAGCTCCCTATATACTGAGCTTAGGGTGACGGGAGGACGCTAGTTTGTGTCCTCCTGTTACCCTGAGGAGAACTATGGGGAAAAGCCCTGACCCCGTACTTCTCCTTTAAGAAATGCATTGCTTATTCAAGTAAGCATGTACACATAAAGCCAACAAAATGTTGTAGAGCCTGATATAAACACTACAATAAATGCAGAATATAATGGCCCGCAGAACATGTGCAGGAAATCCAGCCCTGAACGTCTCCTTTTCCCTCACAAAGGGTATTTAAACGATCACCCCGCCCCAGGCCTAAGGCAGGGATATTGGGTGCATTATCCACTTCAGGAGATCATACGTGTATATATATATATATAACCATCAGAGGATGAAATGTATAGACGGAACACACTAGTGAGCTGAGATGTGTCTGCTTAGTATAACGCTGAGACCTTGGCTGTACACAACGCAGGATGTACAACGTGTACAGTACGTTGGGGAATAACTGCGTGAGGCTGGATTTGTGTCTCTGTGAAGATTATTGAACAATTTCTCATGTTTCTACCTCTTCCTGCAAAGGTCACACTGAATCCCCCAGAAAACGTCTACGTTGGTGGTCCAGCATAGAATCCTGTTGAGTCAAAAAGGCTGCATGTCACCGCCAACTACAAATGTCAGCGTGAGGCGTTCACTATGGCGCAGTTATATTGTAGGGCTACTCATTTATCTCACTTGGATGACTGACTCTCGAGACCCTGACTCCAGTCCCCCTGACAAATCTTCCGTGGCTCCCGACTTCAACAACAGTTCTGTTCTGCCCCTTTTATTCTACCTTTCGTTCTTAGGGGGTGGAATTCCACGATGCATCAATATAACATCTCTACTTTCCAGGGCCCAATGACTCCAATCTTAGCCCATCCGGACTCCCCCTCCGGGGTGCGGGGTCCATGCCTTTCTGTGTCGGGAAAACACCTGCTCCCTTTTATATCTTTGAAGGCCTGCATGGAGATGCTTTGAAGTCTTCTTCTTTTCAGCCCCGACCCTCCGCCGGTTACCTCCTGGTTCGCTTACCTCCAGTCTCAGCATTTCCTGCAGGTTCTCTCTTCGTCGGGTCGTCTTTATAGGTCTCTCAGTCACCTTGAACAAATCTGTGCCTCTGGAGAACCCCCCTCGCATCTTGTCTCCTTTCTTTATGACTCTTTGATTTCAACTGACTGTGAGGGATCACCATATTTTCTTGTCTGCTCGGGAACAGGAATTAGTTATTGTCCTTTCTGCGGGTGAGAGGCTCTCATATTTTTTTGTTTTACGCATAAACTGCGCACGTCTTCCTCGGTTCAGGAACACAACCTTAAAGTACTGACCCGGTGGCATAGAGCTCCGGTTTGGATGCACCAAATTTACCCATTACCTTCCGACAACTGCTGGAGATGCCAGGCTGACGTCGGTACGTTGGCCCACATTTGGTGGGGTTGCCCCCGGATTTTGCCCTTTTGGCGAGCCATCTCACACGTCTATTGGAAGTCTTCTCCAGCGAGCTCCATCTTACACCCAAGATGGTTCCGTTATGTTTTCCAGGCCCGATTTCTAAAGCAAAAAAGTATCTCCTTCGCTTTGTTGTCAATGCTGCCAGGGCACTCATACCAAGGCACCGGAATTCCCGCAGTTGTTCCTTCAATTTGCGGAGTGGACTGCGGAATTGTGCCGACTGATGAGATCAGAGGAGCTGATAGCTGGACCGGTCTGACGTCTTCTTATCCAGATGGATGCCCTGGCTCCGGTTTATGGATTCAGAGGAGTTTTGAACCCTGACAATCTGCTTTATTCCTTTTGTGCTACTTCTAATACCTTCCCCTTCTATTCCTGCCTCGCTTCTCTGCTCCCTTATTGCTGTTATGCCTAGGTGTGTTTTTGTGTTGTCTATGTCTGATATTTCTGGGGGTTATTCCCCCCCCATCCCCCCATGTTTTACGCATACATATCAATGATTTAATGGCACTTCCTTCCCCATTGTACGGAAGGCCCCTTCTGATTTGGACACAATTTCAGTTCTCTTTTTCCCTAGAGGGGCGATGCCCTCAATGTGACGATGGCTTCGCTCAATCGTTCTCCGGCACAACTGTTTATTTTCCTTTATGTGGATTTTTGATAGATTTGTTATACTTTTTGTATATTTTTTGAAAAATTTATGGAAAATCTTTTATAAAAACTAATTTCTGTGTGATGAAGGTAACATGTGACTGCACAGAAGGGTCTGGCTGCTCCCAATGATACGCCAGCGCGTATTTTGGGAAACACTCTGCAAGCCGTGTAAAACACAACAGCCTACAGACGGCGGTTTCTGCAACGCTGGAGAGTCCCGGGTCAGTTTTTCTAAGATGATAACAATCCGACAAACAATAACTGTTGAGTTCCATGAAGCAAAACAACTGTCTGCCCGAAACAACTGTCTGTAACCAATCAAAGCAGCAGATGTCTTGTCAGAAAGATGTGGAAATCCAGCTGGAGAATCTTTATCCACATCATCATTTCAGATGGACGATAACATCCGACGGCGGGCAGCTCAGCAACGCTGATGAATGATGAAGTACATCGGTGCAGGTCCTTGCAATGTGAACAAGGCACAGAACCCGAGTGTACACCTTCCAGCATGCTGCTGTATCAAGGATTTCATTCAACTGACCTGAGTGGCAAAGTGCGGGCCAACCCACCCATAAGGCAGCACGCAGGACTCTTATCATTAAGGTGGCACAAGTCCAGAGACGGGCAACCAAAATGGTGGAAGGACGGAGGGCTAAAACGTGGAGAGACTGCAGGAACTTCGCATGTTCAGTGTGGAAGAGGGAAGGGAAAGGATGGACACGACTCAAACCCTTATACATGAAGAGTGCGCATAAGGTTCAGGATTTTCAATATGAAGCCGAGATCAAGAACTCGAGGACGTGACCTCAAACCAGCAGGAGGACAATATTATATTACTGATGGAGTAGTTGATGTTGGGACAGACTTCCAGCAGAGGTAGTGAGTCTGTCAACAGGAAGTGAATGTGAACATGATCGGGACAAAACACAGATCTATGCTCAGACACTCTCCTATGATTTCCTCATTGGATTGGTGTGAGCCGGGAGAACCCGATGTGCGTTCCTTGGTCTGTGCATATTGCTGCAGGTAAACTGATGGCACCTGGAGTGTAAATCCCAACAACCACCTCCTCTTATTGGCTCCATTCTGGTCTGTAAATACAGCATTTTATTACACACTCAGTGGCATCATTCATAAGGCTGGAAACAGACAAAAGCACATCCATCCAAGTGTTAAATCTGTTACGTGCAGAAAATACATGTTGGTCCCGCCAGAAATCCAGTGCTGTCCTGTGCACTCTGCAGTCTTATCCCCCAAAAAGTTTCAGCTCAATTCTCTACGTACTACAGAACACCTTCCTTCTTTGTTATGGAGACTTCCTGTCCTAGGGTGACAACGCTGCTCCTGCATAGACACAGTGTGGTGAGTGAGCATTGTCACTCAAGGACAGGAAGTGTGTTACTGACAGGATCAGCAGGTGATAATAAAGGGGAAAAAAAGATAAAACTAAAGCAGCCAATGACTGGTAATCTCCCACCAATGACATTTGTGTTCTTGGGTTTAGATACACTGGATTATTTCCCCCCCAGCATTGTTGTATAAAAGCTTGCTCGTATTTTATACGTTTTTGCAATGTGTGAGAGCAGCTCCGGCCGGTGTCCTGTCCGAGGTGGCACTGGCAGCGCGCACAGGTGAGCCCCCTCCTGCAGCCAGCCTCTTTCACTCGTCAGGTACAGCGTGCCAGCTGCCTGTGAGTTGTTCAGGACGGCGAGATGCATGGGAGGGAGGGAGGAGCCGGGCTTATCCTCTCCTTTAATAAGAAAGTCCCGCCTTGCAAGTTTTTTGAGCAGCTCTTTCCCTATTCAGAGCATCCCCAGCCAAACTAATGCCCTCTCCTACCCTGACGTCAAACAGCAGATCACAGGCAAGATTAGGGTTTTTCATTTCTCTTATTGCAGCAATTAGCCTGGGACTGTATAAAAGGGCTACAGAGAGGGGAGGGAGGGAGGCAGAGGGGAGATCCGGAGACAAACAGAGATAGCTGAGCGAGGCAGAGCCAGAGGTAGAGCGAGGGGGGACAGGTCACACATCCACCTTGGGCTCCGCAGCTTCACAGAAACTTTTTCTTTTCTTTTTAGCAAACTTTCTGAGTGATGAGAGAGTGCAGCTGAAGTTGTGCTGAGCAGCGTGCAGGCACCTGTCCTAGCTGCTTCCCTCTGTTATAGTGCAAGGCATTCATTCCCTCTGAATGCAGGCAGCGGGGGCAGGTAGAGAGGGGCAGCACTGAGGGCACAGGGGGAGGGGGAGCTCCCACGCTGCCAACATGGGTCTGCTCAGCGTGGACCTGTTGATCACTCTGCAGATCCTGCCCGGCTTCTTCTCTAACTGCCTCTTCTTGGCTCTCTATGACTCTGTCGTGTTGGTGAAGCACGTGCTCCTACAGCTGAACCGGTCCAAGTCCAGCCAGGGTCAGTGGCGCCGGATGCTCACCCCCGAAGGACTGCGCTGTGTTTGGAACAGCTTCCTATTGGACGCCTACAAACAGGTATGCGGGGACTGGGAAAAAAGGGCGCCACTTTTAAAAGGGGATTTTGCATGGAGCAGAACACCTGTGTGAGAAGGCTGTGACGGAAGGAGCCATTCCCCCCACACTAGTTCCTGGGCAGCACAGGAGTGGGGGGAATAGCTGCTTCTGTCGGAGCTTCCTCACACAGGTGAGTCTTTTTACAAGCACCCTTCATGCATTTTGCTGCAATCCTCAGGGTTTGATCACCTGAGACAAAGACTGAAACATTGTAATGTGAGTGTATACGGAGCCGGTACAGTGTAATGTGTGAGTGTATACGGAGCCGATACATTGTAATGTGTGAGTGTATACGGAGCCGGTACAGTGTAATGTGTGAGTGTATACGGAGCCGATACATTGTAATGTGTGAGTGTATACGGAGCCGGTACATTGTAATGTGAGTGTATACGGAGCCGATACAGTGTAATGTGTGTGTGTATAGAGCCGGTACATTGTAATGTGAGTGTATACGGAGCCGATACAGTGTTCCGGGGTGTTTTTCCCGGGGTGCCCCCCCCCCCCCCCCGCCCCGGGGAGGAGCAGATTTACAAGTTGCACAAAGATAAGAATGCTGTTAAAGCCGCAGGGACACATGAACCTCCAGACGTTGTAATAATAATCAGCGCTCCCTCCGCTCAGCAGAGATTGGACATTCTTTGGGCTATTAGGCAGCTCGTGGAGGAATTTGTAGTTTATGTAATAAGTAGTTTGTGACGAGCGGCGGGACTCTGGAGCGCGGGGTCTGAGCGCCGTTTGTTCCGCTGCTTTGATAACTACTCGAGCGGTTGGTGGAGCTGAGCGCACCCGCGCCGTGTGGGCCCCGCATGCTCTAAACAGACGACCAGCGCCGCCGCCGCATAGCTGGAAAGGATTAAGCGGGTGCCTGGGAAAGGCGAGGAGCAACTGGGGCAACATTTATCAGGGTGGGGGAGGGGGCATATACATTAAAGGTGCACAGAACCTGTGTAAACATCATATCAGGATTGCTTAGTATGTCAGTGTCACACACCCGCCAATCGGATTGTGTATTACTGCGGCCAGAGCGCTCAGGAGACGATAGATTGCAACGTGTAACTATGGAAATGCACGTTCTTAAAGTGGAATGATATCATGATGCAGCGTCTCCGTACCATTCACACAGCAGGTTTTGTTTGTCTGAATCCTGCAAGTAGGTCCATTACTGTTCCACTTCCTGTAATAGGGTGACAACGCCACAGTGAAATGGCACAGCAGAGTTGTCACCCTGTAGTCTCAGACTAATATAGCTGATCTTTGTGAACCCCCTTCAGCAGTCTTATATGGTTTGTGTCCCACCCCTGTAACTGTCACAGGAAGTGGGAAAATAATGGATATTTGTTAATGCAATGCAGTGTTTCCCTTTCATGAATAAGCCTTGTTCACAAAGTGCAGTAACCCATAGCAACCAAATGTCATCTTTATGATCAGACTTCACACTTCTGCCTGTCTGCTCTCCATTGACTAAGCTGATATACAAAGACTTGTGTTCATCATATTTTATGACACACAATTAGGATGCTGGTCAGTTGTAGCACCTGTAGCTTGGCACTGGGGGCAAAGTGCCTCACTGATGCCCTCTGCTGGCCGCTCTTCACCGCTCGGGATTGTGCGACAGATGAACGCTGATTGATTCATGAGAAAACCATTTGGAGGATCAGATGGAATCAGCGGCAGGAATGGAGCCGCGCCGCGCAGAAGAGTATTTATTGTAAATATAATTTGCTAATGTGATGGCAAGGCGTGCGGGCAGTCTCAGACATCCTGTGCCCCACAATGCACATATGGGCACCCTCATATCACCATCACCTTTGTGCACAGAGATCAGCAGATGGACCAGGGCCAGTGCGGGTCAAGTGCGCCAACCCGGAAGATCATGATATGGGCCAAGTGCTCCAACCCGGAAGATCATGATATGAGTCAAGTACTCCAACCCGGGAGATCGTGATATGGGTCAAGTACTCCAACCCAGGAGATCGGGATATGGGTCAAGTACTCCAACCCAGGAGATCGGGATATGGGTCAAGTACTCCAACCCAGGAGATCGGGATATGGGTCAAGTACTCCAACCCAGGAGATCGGGATATGGGTCAAGTACTCCAACCCAGGAGATCGGGATATGGGTCAAGTACTCCAACCCAGGAGATCGGGATATGGGTCAAGTACTCCAACCCAGGAGATCGGGATATGGGTCAAGTACTCCAACCCAGGAGATCGGGATATGGGTCAAGTACTCCAACCCAGGAGATCGGGATATGGGTCAAGTACTCCAACCCAGGAGATCGGGATATGGGTCAAGTACTCCAACCCAGGAGATCGGGATATGGGTCAAGTACTCCAACCCAGGAGATCGGGATATGGGTCAAGTACTCCAACCCAGGAGATCGGGATATGGGTCAAGTACTCCAACCCAGGAGATCGGGATATGGGTCAAGTACTCCAACCCAGGAGATCGGGATATGGGTCAAGTACTCCAACCCAGGAGATCGGGATATGGGTCAAGTACTCCAACCCAGGAGATCGGGATATGGGTCAAGTACTCCAACCCAGGAGATCGGGATATGGGTCAAGTACTCCAACCCAGGAGATCGGGATATGGGTCAAGTACTCCAACCCAGGAGATCGGGATATGGGTCAAGTACTCCAACCCAGGAGATCGGGATATGGGTCAAGTACTCCAACCCAGGAGATCGGGATATGGGTCAAGTACTCCAACCCAGGAGATCGGGATATGGGTCAAGTACTCCAACCCAGGAGATCGGGATATGGGTCAAGTACTCCAACCCAGGAGATCGGGATATGGGTCAAGTACTCCAACCCAGGAGATCGGGATATGGGTCAAGTACTCCAACCCAGGAGATCGGGATATGGGTCAAGTACTCCAACCCAGGAGATCGGGATATGGGTCAAGTACTCCAACCCAGGAGATCGGGATATGGGTCAAGTACTCCAACCCAGGAGATCGGGATATGGGTCAAGTACTCCAACCCAGGAGATCGGGATATGGGTCAAGTACTCCAACCCAGGAGATCGGGATATGGGTCAAGTACTCCAACCCAGGAGATCGGGATATGGGTCAAGTACTCCAACCCAGGAGATCGGGATATGGGTCAAGTACTCCAACCCAGGAGATCGGGATATGGGTCAAGTACTCCAACCCAGGAGATCGGGATATGGGTCAAGTACTCCAACCCAGGAGATCGGGATATGGGTCAAGTACTCCAACCCAGGAGATCGGGATATGGGTCAAGTACTCCAACCCAGGAGATCGGGATATGGGTCAAGTACTCCAACCCAGGAGATCGGGATATGGGTCAAGTACTCCAACCCAGGAGATCGGGATATGGGTCAAGTACTCCAACCCAGGAGATCGGGATATGGGTCAAGTACTCCAACCCAGGAGATCGGGATATGGGTCAAGTACTCCAACCCAGGAGATCGGGATATGGGTCAAGTACTCCAACCCAGGAGATCGGGATATGGGTCAAGTACTCCAACCCAGGAGATCGGGATATGGGTCAAGTACTCCAACCCAGGAGATCGGGATATGGGTCAAGTACTCCAACCCAGGAGATCGGGATATGGGTCAAGTACTCCAACCCAGGAGATCGGGATATGGGTCAAGTACTCCAACCCAGGAGATCGGGATATGGGTCAAGTACTCCAACCCAGGAGATCGGGATATGGGTCAAGTACTCCAACCCAGGAGATCGGGATATGGGTCAAGTACTCCAACCCAGGAGATCGGGATATGGGTCAAGTACTCCAACCCAGGAGATCGGGATATGGGTCAAGTACTCCAACCCAGGAGATCGGGATATGGGTCAAGTACTCCAACCCAGGAGATCGGGATATGGGTCAAGTACTCCAACCCAGGAGATCGGGATATGGGTCAAGTACTCCAACCCAGGAGATCGGGATATGGGTCAAGTACTCCAACCCAGGAGATCGGGATATGGGTCAAGTACTCCAACCCAGGAGATCGGGATATGGGTCAAGTACTCCAACCCAGGAGATCGGGATATGGGTCAAGTACTCCAACCCAGGAGATCGGGATATGGGTCAAGTACTCCAACCCAGGAGATCGGGATATGGGTCAAGTACTCCAACCCAGGAGATCGGGATATGGGTCAAGTACTCCAACCCAGGAGATCGGGATATGGGTCAAGTACTCCAACCCAGGAGATCGGGATATGGGTCAAGTACTCCAACCCAGGAGATCGGGATATGGGTCAAGTACTCCAACCCAGGAGATCGGGATATGGGTCAAGTACTCCAACCCAGGAGATCGGGATATGGGTCAAGTACTCCAACCCAGGAGATCGGGATATGGGTCAAGTACTCCAACCCAGGAGATCGGGATATGGGTCAAGTACTCCAACCCAGGAGATCGGGATATGGGTCAAGTACTCCAACCCAGGAGATCGGGATATGGGTCAAGTACTCCAACCCAGGAGATCGGGATATGGGTCAAGTACTCCAACCCAGGAGATCGGGATATGGGTCAAGTACTCCAACCCAGGAGATCGGGATATGGGTCAAGTACTCCAACCCAGGAGATCGGGATATGGGTCAAGTACTCCAACCCAGGAGATCGGGATATGGGTCAAGTACTCCAACCCAGGAGATCGGGATATGGGTCAAGTACTCCAACCCAGGAGATCGGGATATGGGTCAAGTACTCCAACCCAGGAGATCGGGATATGGGTCAAGTACTCCAACCCAGGAGATCGGGATATGGGTCAAGTACTCCAACCCAGGAGATCGGGATATGGGTCAAGTACTCCAACCCAGGAGATCGGGATATGGGTCAAGTACTCCAACCCAGGAGATCGGGATATGGGTCAAGTACTCCAGCCCGGGAGATCATGATACGGGCCAAGCGCCCCAACCCGGGAGATCATGATACGGGCCAAGTGCTCCAACCAGTGAGATCATGATATCAGTCAAGCGCCCCAACCCGG